GGTCGCTCTGAGGATCCCTTTTTTCCGTGGTGAGGTGGCGAACTGCAGCGATGCCAGTTGTCGTGGCTCGCGTCGAGCAAAAACTGAGAGCCATGCTTCGCGCCCCGGTTTGTGTGAGGCCAACGTTGAAGCCCACAGCTGGGGCCGAGCATGGCGCCGGGCTGCGAGGCCCCTCCCCGCGCCCGCGGCCGGAAGTTCTCTCGTGCCGAACTCTCCCATGCAAATTTTTTGGTGCGTCACGTAGATGGACGCGCCGCCGAGCGGCACGCCGCGCCGCGCGCAGGTGAAGTCTTTTGTGGATCCCCGAGGGGACCTTGCGGTCGCTCAGGGTATAAGCGGCAGAGCGGACGACATGTTCGAGTTTTTAACACGTGGAGCTCAGTTTACCGATCAGCGCTTTCGTGAGGTGGCTATGGAGGGCTGTCAGCTTCTTCTGAGCAACAATCCCGAGAACGCCCCGGACCCGTCTTGCGAAATCGAGGAGTGGAGCCCGTTGATTGCGGCGGCGCAAATCGGTCGCCGCCGCCTCGTCGAGCTTTTTCTTCGCGTGGGTGCTGAGCCCGATCAGATCGTTCGTGGACACACCGCGCTCATGGCCACGCTCCAGTGGCCTCACCTTCGAGAGCGGGACGGTGACTACCTCGGTGTCGCGCAGCTGCTCCTTGCCGCGGGGGCGGACCCCACAGCAGGCTCCTGGCTTAGCGGAAGTTACACAACCCCGCTCGATTTAGCCCGCTGGCGCGGCGATTTCCTCGAATTCGTCGAGCTCTTCGAAGCCGACCCGCGCGTCCGACGCGCCGAGCGCCGCCGTACGTGCGCGTACTGCGGTGGCGTCGGCTCTCTCATTCAGCCGCGGTTCCAGGTCTGCGGTGGCTGCCAGCGCTGCAAATACTGTGCGAACGCCGCGTCCATTTCTGTCTCGCTTTGCGTCCGGACTCTGGATCCATCGCAGGTTCGCGCGATTGCCAGAAGGCGCATTGGCGCAGCGGGCACCGCATCGAGTGCAAGGTCATGGTCTTGTATCGAGCGCAAGGTATTGGGCGCAGTGAGGCTGCTGCCGATGCTGCCGCGTTCGCCGAGATCATTGCCGAGCATGGTGAGAGACCAGTGATGGAGGTGGTGAAGAACCACATAGTGAGGCTCGCTACTCGCGATGGCTACATTGGCTAGTTTAAAAGCGCGCGTTTCTGTTCGAAAATGTCAGCCGCTGAAGAAGGCGCGGAGGCGGTCGAGCGCGGCCTGCGCGGTCGTCTTCGGCTCGCCCGCGTCCGCGCGGAACGCCTCGAGGAGCTCCCGCTGCTTCGGGGAGAGGGCCTGGGGCACGGCGAGGTGGACGCGGACGATCTGGTTGCCGCGGCCCCGGTTGTTCATGACGGGCAGCCCCTTGCCCCGGAGCCGGAGCTTCGTGTCCGGCTGCGTGCCCGGCGGGATCTTGATCTCGACGATGCCGTCGAGCGTGAGCACGTCCTTCGTCGCGCCGAGCGCCGCGTCGGCGAAGTCGAGCTCGAGGTCCACGTGGACGTCGGCGCCGTCGCGGTCGAAGTAGGGGTCCGGCTCGACCTCGATCTGCACGAAGAGGTCGCCGGCGGGCGCGCCCGCGTCGCCCGCGCCGCCCTTGCCGCTGAGGCGGATCTGCATGCCCGTGTCGACGCCCGGCGGCACGGCGACGTCGACGGAGCGCCGGTCGCCGCGGCGGCCGTCGCGGCCGACGTCGTGCCACTCGATGGCCTTGCTCTCGACGCCGCGCGCCGCCTCCATGAACGACAGGCGCAGCGCGAGCTGCAGGTCCGCGCCGCGCCGCGGGCCCCGGCGCCGCCGGCCGCCGCCGCCGAAGAACTCGTTCAGCAGGTCCTCGAACTGCTCGTTGCCCGGCTGGCCGCCGAAGCCGCCGCCGCCGCCGAACGGGCCGCCCTGGCCGCCCCCGAAGCCGCGGCGGAACGACTCGAACGGGTCGCCGCCGGGCCCGCCGGGCCCGCCGCCGCCAAAGTCCTGGGCCGCGTGGCCGTACATGTCGTAGCCGCGCCGCTTCTCCGCGTCGCTCAGCACCTCGTAGGCCTCGGACGCCTCCTGGAACTTCTTCGTCGCGTCGGGGTCGCCCTGGTTCGTGTCCGGGTGGTGCTTCTTCGCGAGCTGGCGGTAGGCCTTCTTCACCTCCGCGTCGCTCGCGCCCTTGCTCAGGCCCAGCACCTCGTAGTAGTCGCGCTTCGCCCGCGAGCTCAGGCCGCGCGACGTGCCGTAGCGGCAATAGGCGCTGCTCGACGACGTCGGACCGCGGCGGTCGCCGTGCGTCGCCGGGAGGCACCGCGGCGACGCCGCCAGGGCGTAGGACCGCCGTTGCCGCGGGTGGCCCGCGCGGCGCGCGGCCGTCCGGAGGAGCGACGGGCGCAGCATCGGAGGTGGTCGCCAGACGCTCAAGGTTGCTCTCTTTCAGCAGCACTGCAAGCCTACTGCAAGTTGCGACGTTGAACCTCGACGACAACCACCGGGGCGCCGCAAAACCGAGCTTAGGAGAGCCCGTGGACGAGCAGCGTCGTGCGCGCGTGCATGCCCGCGACGATCTGGTCGACCATGGGCGCGACCTGGGCCTCGTCGAGGTGCTCCGCGTTCTCGACCGCGTTCGAGACGATGATCGTGTCGAGCGTGTTGCCCGAGCGGATCCAGACGGCGCCGTTGTGGCCGATGGCGACCTCGTATTTCACGTGCTTGCCGAGGGCCGCGAGCACGGGCGCGTCGCGCGCGAGCAGCCGCCGCGCGAACGCCGGCGACACGGACGCCACCGCGCACGCGGCGCCCGCCGCGAGCTTGCCGAAGGTCGCGGCGCCCGTCATCCACTCCTTCTTGGAGCCGCGCGTCGCGCAGCAGCTGAGCTGCGCCTCGCCGCCGCGCGTCGTCCGCTCGACGCGGCAGAAGACGGCGTCGCCGATCGCGAGCTGCGGCCGATTACGCTTCGTCGCGCCGTCGAAGGCGAGGGCGCCGAGGTTGCCGGGCACGGACGCGCCGAGCAGGTCCACGCGGTACGCCTCGGCGCCCCGGTCCTCGACGATGCCCACGACGTAGTCCTCCTCCACCGGGGCGTAGCGCTTCGGCGCGACGCCGGGCGCGTCGCGGTCCGCGTCGACGAGCGCGTTCGATTTCCGTTTTTCCACGTTCTCGAAGAGCTTCGCGAGGTCCGTGTCGTCGTCGGCCATGCTCGTTTATATATGGCTATGGACTGCAAGGAGACGGCACCATCGCGACCATCCGGCGAGAGCTGCCGTCTGGGAGAGCGGCCGCCAGCCGCGTCGTCCTGCGCCGGCCGCGCGCCGTCGTCGCCCGCGCCCGCCGCGCCAGCCGCGCACTCGTGAAACCCCCGCTGGCCCCCAGCCGCGCCGCCGACGAAAAATGCCCAAGCACGCCAAGGTCCGGGCCGGGTCCGGGACCCACAAGCTCATGCACACGGTTTTGACCTACGAGGGCATGGACGGCGTCGAGCTGCGCGACGAGGCCGGCGACGGCGCCCTCGTCGGCGCGACGAGCGTCATGCGCTACCGGGGCGAGGTCGCCGAGCTGCCCGGCGCCGCGCGGTGGGCGCTCGGCGTCTACGACAAGAGCACCGGCGAGGTCACGTTCGAGGCCTGCGAGGCCTACGCCGTCGCCGCGACGCCCAAGTGCCGCGTCGAGGGCGGCGACGACGTCGCCGATCGGGACAAGTCCTGGCTCGAGCGCAACATCGCGCTCGCGGACGCCTTCGGGACGAAGAAGAAGCAGAAGCAGCTACGCGCGCGCGTCGCGAACATGGTCGACGCGGGCTCCGTCTTCGCCGGCGACGAGCTCTCGTCGACGGTCGCGGGCCTCGCCGAGGCCGCCGAGGCCGCCGCCGCCGCCGCGCCCGCGCCCGCGGCCGAGGCGCCGCGCGAGGACTACGCCGCGCTCTTCGGCGACGAGGCGGTCACCGCGGCCATCGTCAAGCAGCGCGCGTTCCGCCTCGACGTCCAGGCCGAGCAGAAGTTGAAGAGTTGGGTGCCCGCGGACTGGTCGCCCTACGTGCGGGCGCGCCTCGCGAAGCTCGGCCCCGGCGACGGCCGGCTGTCGAACCTCCTGATCCTGCTCCGCCACATGCTCCTCTTCCACGCGCTGGACGGCCACGGCACGCTCAAGCTCGCCGACATGAAGATGTCGAAGCTCGTCCCCGAGGACGTCGCGCGCCACCTCTACGGCGCCTACGCGCAGGCGTCGGAGAACGGCGCGAGCGTCAAGTACGTCAAGACGCCCGCGCTCAAGGCCAAGCTCCTCTCCCACATCCTCCTCGCCATGCTCAAGGCCGAGGGCGGCACGGCGGACATGGACGCGGTCTCCGCGGAGCTCAAGACGCCCGTGAAGACGCTCGCCGCGCGCTTCAAGGAGCTCGGCTGCGAGGTCAACACGAAGCGCAAGAAGGGCGCCAAGGGCCCGGCGAACACGGCGACGCTCGCGGCCTTCGCGGCGAAGTAAGTTTTCGGAGGTACTCGTAGCGGATCCTGCTAACATCTCGGTGCCTTCAATGTGCCGACAACTTTACCAAAATCGTTGGAGCTGCTCAAATTATGGAGCTCCAAATCGCTCCGCAGACGCCGCACCCGCGGCCGAAGCGCGCCCTGGCGCTGCGGAGCGTCGGCGGCGTTGTCACGCCTTTGCCGGACGGCGAGGTCATGCTCGGGCGCGAGGGCGGTGGCCTGAGCCTCGGCGTCATGTCGCCGCTCGTATCGCGGCAGCAGGCCCTGCTCGTGCGCGACGGCGCCGGCGGCCTGCGCGTCGTCTCGCGCGGCCGCGTCAATCCGACGTGCGTCGTGCGCGACGGCGGCGCCGTCCTGCGGCTCGCGCAGGGCGAGTCCGCCGCGGTCTCGCCCGGCGACGCGATCGTGCTGCGGGGCGACCGCGTCTTGCGCGAGGGCGCGGGCCGCCTCGTCAGCGACGATGAGGCGTTCACGCTCGTCGACGAAGAAGCCCCAGATATGGACCTGGCGGCGGCGCTCAGCGAGATCGCGCGGCTCCGGGCCGAGCTCGACGCCGCGCGGCGCGCGCCGGCGACGCCGGCGGCCGCGGAACCGACGGACGCCGAGGCGGCGCCGGCGGCCGCGCCGAGCCCCATGGAAGAGGAGGCGACGCCGGCGGCCGCGGAACCGACGGACGCCGAGGCGGCGCCGGCGGCCGCGCCGAGCCCCATGGAGGAGGAGGAGGAGGAGGAGGAGGAGAAGCTCGAGCGTCCGATGGACTCGCAGGGCACGGTGGCGGCGGCCGCCGCACCGAGCCCCATGGAGGAGGTGGAGCGCCCGCTGGACTCGCAGGGCACGGTGGCGGCGGCCCCGGCGGCGGCGGAAGCGCGCCTCGCGGTCGACGCGGTCGACGCGCTGCGCCTGACGAAGGGCCTCGAGGTCGCGTCGCTGACCTACACCGAGGACGGCAAGCGCCTCGCGGCGCGCTGGCGCGGCGGCGGCGCGACGTGCGTCGAAGTCGTCGGACGCGCCTGGGCGATCCGCGACGTCGGCGCCGCGAGCGACGAGGCCCGCGTCGCCCGGGCGCTGGGCCTCGCCGGCGCGCTGGCCAAGGCGTCGGCCGCGCCGCGCGCGGGCGTCGACGCCGCCGTCGCGGCGTTTCTCGACGCGGGCGCGCCGCGCGCGGCCGAGGCCGCGGAGGGCGACGACGACGACGACTCGGTCGGCGACTTCGACGACGACCCCTGCGCCACGTCCGCGCTCGTCGCGGCGGAACTCGACTCCGAGACCGACGACTCGCCCTACGAGGCGAGCGGCGACGACCAGCAGAGCGGCGCGGCGCCAAAGGCTGAGACGCGGGGGAGCAAATTCGTCGAGCGGCTCCTCGCCGGCGCTGCGGCGGAAGGCGTGTCCGTGGCGTCCCTGCGCTGGGACGGCGACTCGCTCCGCGGCGTCGTCACCGGCAGCGGGGAGAAGCAGGTCGTCGTGACCGTGGAGGTCCGCGCGGCCGGCGACGCCGTCGTCCTCCGGGCGTCGTGCCGTCGTACCAAGGGAGACCAGAACTGGGGGGCGGGCGTCGGGCTCGCGGACTCGGTCCCCGCGCTGCAGCTGCTCCGCTTCGCCGCAAACAAGCCCGGCGACGTTGCTCGCGTGCAGGACGTCGCGGCAGATGCCGCCAAGCTCGCGCCCCAGGCCGTCGCCGACGTGCTCCTCCACGCCGTCGCGACGGCCGCCGCGGGGACGACGTCGGCCTACGAGTGCCTCAAGGCGGCGATCTCGACCGCGGCGCCGGCGACCGCGTCCCTGCTCGTGGACGCGGCCGCCGTCGAGAAGCTCGCGCTGCCGGCCGCGATAGCCTCGGTCGTGCGCACCGAGCAGAAACCGAAACCCGCGCCTCCCAAGAAGGTGGTCTGCTTCAAGCTTGCGTCGCCCGTGTTCTACGACGCGGCGCGCGGCGTCGTCTTCGGGCGCGTCGTGCGGAAGCCCGACGAAACCGGAGAGTCGTACTTGAGCAGCACCGACGTCGCCTTCGCGGCCGCCCGCGACGGCGAGGGCCTGCGCCTCGACCCGACCCGGTCCTGGAGCGAAGACGACTCTGAGTGGAACCAGCCCCTCATGACGCCGGCGGCCCTCGCGTTCTCCAAACTCGCGACGGAGGCCGTCGAAATAGACGCGCTGCGGAGCGGGCTCTTGGCTCTACCCGACGTCCGAGCCGCCGCGGTCGACGTCGCCTTCTCGCCGGCGACGAGCGGCGCGGGGCTCGACGTGGCCCTGCCGCGCCTCCTCGCCGAGGCGGCGAGCGCGGGCGCCGCGTCGCCCGGGGCGGCCTACGTCCGTGACCTCGACGCGGTCGTCATCGATGCGGCGGCGCCCAACGACGACCCGGCAATCGTGGCGCAGGAGAAGCGAGCGGCGACGGCGGTTGCGGCGTACTGCGAGGACGCCGAGGAGGCGTTCGAAGAGGCGGAGCTGGAGGTGAAGAACACTCGCGAGAGCTGGGTCAACGGCGAGGACTGCGGCTGCGAACCAGAGCCGTACGGTCGCGGCGAGTGCCCTTGCGGCAGCTGGGATTGCTACGACTGTGAAAACGAGCGCGATATCGAATGCAGCTGCGCGGTGGATGAGAATCCATTGCCCGACGCGGTCGAGTTCGTCGGTGAGCGGCTCGAGGAGACGGTCGACCTGCTCCTGGACCGCGCCGAATCTCTTCCGGAGAACATCCGCGAGGCGCTGCTCGTGGGCGTCGCGGGCGGCCTGGTCGAGGCTCAAGTCCGATATCGGCCCACGAAGATCATCAAACCGGCCGGTAAGCCCGTCAAGGTCGGTCCTGGGACCTGGACCTGCCCCAGGGCCGTCACGGACCAGTCCCCAATCGCGCGTGCGCTCGATGATGAGACCAACAATCGGCTCGACGAGTTGACCGATCGGGCGGTGGAGCTGGCCAAGGCGGGTCGGCCAGCTCTTTGCGCGAGCCTCGTGCAGCTCCGCCCGACGAACGCTTTCCCCGCCGACGACTTGGCCGAGGCGATGGCCGCGGCGCCGGAGTCAAAGCCGGTCCTCCTCGCCGCGGTGAACGCCGCAGCCGCGAAGCTCGTCGCGCGATCGACGCGGCGATGCTTCGGTCGAGCGTCGCTCGGGTCCAACGCGCTGCGCGTCAAGGACAACTTCGATAACGCCCGGTCAAACATCCGCGAGCTCCTGGCGCGGGGCTGGCTCGACAAGTGGGAGACCGTGGCCGGTGCCTGTGCGCTGGACCGCACGGTGAATCTGCAGCACTGCATGGAACTCGTCGATTTTGCGCTCGAGGTCGCGCGCCACGAAGCGGCGCCCGGCGACGCGCTCCCCGCGGTGCGACAGCAGGCCGTCGCGGCCGTCGAGGCGCGGCTGACGAGGAATTCGCCGACCACCGATGGGTCCCTCGACAAGATATCTGCTCAGACCCTCGACCGCGCCGCGGCGACGCTGCGGGCGATCGCCGCGGAGGACGCCGGCGCCGGCGCCGCGGCGGCGGCGAAGCGCGCGCTCGACGCGATCGCCGAGGCCAAGCTCTGGGACCGGTGGCCGGCCGTGGCTCGCGTCGCGGTCGAGCTCGACCGCGGCGCCGAGACCGTCGCCGCCGCGACGCGCGGCGCCGCCGCGCTCCTCGCCCACGACGTCGCCGCTGGCGCGGCCGCCGTGCGCTCGGGCATCGCCGACGGCTGGCTGCCGGCGGACCGGTCCCTCGCGGTCGAAGCGCTGTCGAGTTGCGCGGAGGCGAAAGGGCCGTCTTGGCGCGGCGCGCTCTTCGATCTGGCGCTCGACGAGGTGACGCGGCGCGGCGCGGCCGCCTCGCTCCGCGACTCCGTGCTCGACGCGATCGCGGCCCAGCCGCTCGGCGGGGTTCTCGAGGGCGCGCCGGAGGCGTTCGTCGACCGCGTCGCGGCCCTCCGCCCGGACCTCGCGGTGGCCCTGTGCCTCGCGTCGCTCGACGGCGTCGCCGCCCGGAAGCGTGCGGCCCGCGTGCTCATCGCGCACGGCTCGGACGACGCGCTGCTGGCCTTTGTGCGGGCCGAGGTCGCCGAGGCCGCGAAACCGAAAGCGACCAAGGTTTCCTTTGTTGCCCAGTCGGCCGACCTCGGCATGAGTTTCTCGAAGGCGTCCCAAGAGCCATACACCTCTTCAAGTTACGGGCAGCGGGGGCTCAAGGTGATCGCCGTGACGGGCGCGGCCGAGGCCGCCGGCGTTCGCGTTGGCATGCAGCTCGATACCATCGCTGGTGGGAGCAGCGTCGGCCGCGAGCGGACGGAGACACTGCGGGGCCGGCTCAAGTCGGCGGCCCGGCCGACGACGCTGACGTTCTCCTGGCCGGCTCCCGTCGCGCCGAGGACGCACACCGTCAGCCATTACAATAACGACCGAGTCCAGGACGATAATTTCGACAAGGCGGTCCTGGCCGCGTACGCGGAGCTCCGGCGCGCCCACGGGGACTCCATTCCGACGAACCTCGACTGGCTCCACTCGATGCTCGTCTCGTCGAACCGTCGCTGCGGGGAAGCGGCGTGCGCGGCGACGGCCGGAGCGTACGACGCGGCCGCGGCGCGCTGGCCCGTCAAGCTCGCGACGGACCTAGCCGCCGTCGTGAACGCGCCGATCCCGGAGTCGGGGTGCATGAGCC